CCCAGGACCCCTGCTTTCACTCTTGCCCCTGTGGTCTGTTCCCATGGTGGCCAGATCACATCACCCCCCTGCTCACACCCTCCGATGTGACGTCCTCTGTTGTCTTTGGAGTAGAATCCAGCCCCCTTCCTTTGCTCCACACTTCCTTCACATTTGTTCTCAAGACCTCCCTGCAGCGGGGAGTATGTCCAAACTAGTATCTTCCAGCAGCCTCGATCCCCTTGCCGTGCCTTATTTTTCTTCATAGCACTTGTCACCACCCACCATTATGTGTTTATCTTCACCGCTGGATTCCCATAGCTAGAACCGTGCTCGTTCGGTGGTGGGTGTTCCGCTAATATTTGTCAAGTAGGTAAATGAGTTGATGGACAGACAGAATGGGCAGAGTGACTGCAACGGGGGGGATGCAGGGCAAGGTGGTGGGTGTCTTAGTCTGTTTGTGCTTCTGTAACAGAATACCGCAGACTGGGGGCGCTGATGAACAACAGAAATTTATTTCTCACAGTTCTGGGGGCTGAGAAGTCCAAGTCAAGGTGCCAACAGATTGGGTGTCTGGTGAGGGGCCTCTTCCTGGTTCGTAGACAGCCATCTTGCTGTGCCTCATATGGTGGAGGGGGCGAGGGAGCTTTCTGGATGGAACGGGATAAGGGCACTAAATCCCATTCATGAGCCTCCACCCTTATGACCTCCTCACCTTCCAAAGGCCCACCTCCTAACACCATCACGTTAGGGGTTAAGATTTCAGCAGATGAGTTTGTAGCGGGGACACAAACGTTCAGTATGTGGCAGTGGGCTGGGGGCCGGGTGGGGAGGGGCCTCTGGGGGCCGGGTGAGGAGTATGGATGACAGTGTAAGGAGAGTGGGAGTTGTTGCTGGGTTTAAGCAGGGCTGCGGTGACCGAGGCTGTCATTTCTGGGGTCCCTCGGGCGACTGGCTGAGCTTTCCAGTCCTGAGACACGGTGATTGGGGCAGGAGCAGGGCAGCGAAGGTGGAGGAGGCAATCGATTCCAGAGGCATTTGGGGAGCAGAATCAGGAGAGCTTGAGAATGGAAGCGGTGAGGGGTGGAGGGATGTCAAGGACGACGCTGGGGAGAGGGTGGAGGCTTCCGCCTGGGATGACCCGGGGGACGGATTCAGACTGAGTTTGCTGTGTGTTGACGAGAAGTTCAAGGACCCGTTCACTCTAGTCATGTGCAAAGCGCCCATCTCCCGAGCTTCCCGGGACCAGAGAGGAGTCACACACCTGGACCCTGACCTCCAATGCCCCCGGCCATGGAGGGTGGAGACAGTGGACAGACGAAACCCCTAGAGGGGGACTGGTTCTGAATCCCAAGGTCAGCTAGAAGCCAGGGGCTTACCTTCACTGTGCCTCCATTTCTTCACATGTGAAATGGTGGGAAGGATGGTCCCTCGGACAGGGTTGCTCTGGGGACTACGTGAGCTACTCTGGGTGCGGGGGGGAGCCCTGAAATGGTGGCCACGAGGTACGTACATGCTGTGTGAGGGTGAGCCTCTGCACCCATGCGAGGTTCCGTGAAGCACAGGGAAGGAGAGCTTTCTCTGTCCGGGACACTCTGGGAGGCCCCCAGAGGAGGGGGGACATTCCTGGTTCTTCAGCAGAGGAGACACAATGCATCCAGTTGGCCCTGCTTTTGCAGGTTTCGTTGTGGAGGCAGAGAAGTGAACAGATGTTTTCCAAACTGAGCTAAATGCTGTGGTAGATCCAGGGGTGTCGAGACTGGGGGGGTCCAGAGAAGGTGCCGCAGAGGAGGAAGGGTGCAAGGGACCCTGCAGGGGTGGGTGGGATCCAGTTCTGCAGGGCAGAGTGGGACGCCCCGGGCAAAGGCCGTGTTCAGTGATGCGGAGGCCAGAAAGCAGCTGGGTGAGACGGGGCTTGAGGCCCAGGAATATGGTGGGGAACGGTGGCAGCCCTGGGGGCCGTTCAGAGAGGCCAGTCTTGGTCAAAATCCAGCAGTGTTTGTTGGGAGCCCCTGTGTAGCTTCTGGGGCACACCTCTAACTAGATAGGCAGGGAACTGGTAATTAAGTAGGAAAGCTAGTCCATTAATAAGCAAACAGGCAGGGTCAACTCTAGTAGGTGCAAAGCAGGATATGAAACAGGGTAATGGGTAATACGAGAGAGAGGACCCTGGGGTGGGGCTAAGTGGGGTCTGGAGGCCTCCCCTGGTGGGGAGGGCTGAAGGAGTGAAGTGTGAGCTAAGCCTCGAATGGTGAGGCAGAGCTCTGGAGGAGCACATGCAACACGGCCCTGCCGTGTTGAAGAGCAAAAGACAGGCACTGTGGCTGGAGCCGAGTGGGTGAAGGAAAAGGGCATGAGGCGAGGCCAGCAGGCAGGTGGGTCTCAGATCACCTAGGGCCTCTTGGCCGGGAAAGGGATTTGCTGTAGGTGCAGTGCAAAGCCACCCAGGGGATTTTAGCAGGGGACTTTCCCTTTGGACTGTGCGGTTCTGAGTAGTGGCTGGGGGGCCGGTGAGGTGGCTGATGCAGTTGTCAGGAGAGAGACTCTGATGGTCAGGCTGGACGGGCGGATGGACAGAAGTGGACAGATCTGAGTTGTGTTTTGGCAGCAGAGCTGCTGCCCTTGCTACTGGAAGAGATGTGGAGAATTCGGGAAAGGGAAGAAGTGGGTTAGGCCTAGGTGCTGGCCCGAGGCCAGGTGTCTAGAGTGGGAGAGGAGGCCAGGGAGCAGAGCAAGGGAGGGGACAGAAAGGGGCTGGGAGCCCTTTAGGGAGGAAGTGGGCTCCTGATGCTGGGCCTAGGGACCCGCAGCGCCCCCTTGAGCCCCGATTGCGAAGCCACTGCCTCCTGCTTTCTGAAGGGGAGACTCAGGCCCCCATGGAGGGCCTTCCCCAGGGCACACCTCCCGTGAGTGCATCGAAGTGATAGGACTCCTGTATTAGCTGATGTCGTTCCTGGCAGTTCACATATTAGGCATAAGAGTAGCAAGTGCATAAGAAGGGGCAAGATGCTCCTTACTCTCAGCACACCTGGGAATTTGCAAGGGTAGACCCCAAATCCAGCCACGTTTTGGGCCCATGCCGCAGTTTGCCGCCTCTGGATTCTGCTTTGGGGCTATGCCCGCTCTCTGCGCTCAAGTCACACTGGGGCTGGTGCTGTGTCCCTCACCCCATGGTAGCTGTTTGACCTGTGCCCCAGTTCTGTTCACACCTGTATTACCCCGTGTGCTCTGTCTCAGCCGCTTCCCTGTGAGTGTGTGTCTCCTCCCAGGCCAGTGAGCCAAGACCTCTACTTTTTCTTTTTTTTTAAAGGTTTTATTTATTCATTCGAGACACAGAGAAACAGAGAGAGAGAGCACGAGCAGGGGGAGAGGCAGAGGGAGAAGCAGGCTCCCCGCTGAGCCAGGAGCCGGACATGGGGCTCAATCCCAGGACCCTGGGATCATGACCCGAGCCGAAGGCAGATGCTTAACCATCTGAGCCACCCAGGCACCCCCAGGACCTCTACTCTTATTTCAGCCCTACGGTCATCTCTGCTTGAATTTGGAGTCAGTTCTGGGGTCCGGTGGAGGCCTGGGGGATAGTCAGTATGCCTGGAAGGTGTCTCCTGGGAGCTGGGTCCCAACTCCAGGACCAGGAGAGGTGTGTGAGACATCTTGCCCAACCCCCATTCCCATTTTGCAGATGAGCAAACTGAGGCCCAGAGACGTGGAAACCCCTGCCCGAGGTCACCCAGCGAACTCGGCAGAGTCAGAGCTCCCCTTTCCAGCACCCTGCCCTGTCCTGCCTGCTCCGTTATGCACATGCCTCGAGGGATCGCCCCTCCCCCGTGTGTCTCCTCCTCCCTACACTGTGTCCAGGGCATGAGTCTGTCTGCCTGCGCCCGTGCGCCTGGTACATCGCTGGGCCAGCCTGTGTCTTAGCACGTGTGTGTGGATGTGGCGTGGTGAGCACAAGTCAGCGGTGGCATACACGGGACCCGATACAGTGCCCACGTGTGCCGTGTGTGGCAGGAGGGGTGTGCGAAGTGTTGGCATTTTCCCTGTCTTCTGTCTGGCCCACAGCTCAAGGCCAGCTAAGTCCACTAGAGCTGGAGCGAAATGATCCTTTTGGATGAGGGATTCTGGGTATGCCCGCCAGACACTAATCCAAACCCTTCTCTGTCCCACCCCACCCGCTCCCCACCCTCACCTGGAACCCAGGCACTCCTCCCCCATTGAAGACCACGTGCAGCTCCCCCCGAGGTCATTCTGTCGGGTGAGCTGGGCACTGGTCCAGTCTGTGTGATGTCGTTCCTGGCAGTTCACATATTAGGCGTAAGAGTAGCAAGTGCATAAGAAGGGGCAAGATGCTCCTCTGTCTGTGCACATGTGTAGGTCACCAGGGCCTGCCGGTGGCAGGGGAGGCTAGGTCCCATCTCTGCTTTACAGTCCCCCAGATCCAGCTTTACTGACGAGTGCCTTTGCCCCTCCGAGACTCAGTTTCTCCATCTATAAAGCAGGTCTAGTAGTGGCCCTCCGGGAGCTGTTGGAAGGAGGTAACCCGTAGAAAGTGTTACCTAGTGTGGAGCCTGGTGCAAGGTCAGTGCGTAGTAAATGCTCCATGTCATGAGCCGTCAAGATAGAAGAGGATAGCAAGGCCTGAAGAGAGCCCTGAGTGGGTCAGTGTCTTGGCATCTCCACGCCCACGTCAGGCTCTCCCCATGACCTGGTGGTGGGGGAAGTGGGAGCTATGCAGGTCCGTGAGGGGATTTATAAAGCAGGGCCTTCACAATGAACTTGACAGGATGAGGAGGGGCGGCTGGGCAGGGAAGGGCCACAGGAGCATCGTCCAGCAGACGTGAGATGACAGGGGCCCAATTCTGGGCCCAAGGTGCCGTTCTGGAGCGAGTGCGGGCTCCTGGCCCCTTTGGTCCCCCTCCTTTCTCTTTGTTGGCCCCTCAGGAGCTCTCTGTGCGTGTCTCCCTAACTGCCCGTCTGTCTCCCTGGCCCGCCCTGCTGCCCCCACCCTCCTTCCCCTCCAGCAGAAGGCGGACCTGGCGGTGGCGGCATTCACCATCACGGCCGAGCGGGAGAAGGTCATCGACTTCTCCAAACCCTTCATGACCCTGGGGATCAGCATCCTCTACCGAGTGCATATGGTACGGCTCCCCTGGACATGTGGAGGCTGTGAGGCAGGGGCTGGTGGTGGGGCTCATGCCTGTGTCCCCAAGGGAAGCAGAGGCTGCAGGCTGGACCGCGATGGGCCACTTGGGCTTGTGGGCGCCTGGCGGGGCAGGGGTTGGGGGTGCATGCAGGTCAGGGTGGCTCCGGGCCTCACGCCCTCTCCCCGCAGGGTCGCAAGCCTGGTTACTTCTCCTTCCTGGACCCCTTCTCCCCTGCTGTGTGGCTCTTCATGCTTCTCGCCTACCTGGCCGTCAGCTGCGTCTTGTTCCTGGCCGCAAGGTGAGTCCACTGCCTGCCGCCCAGGAACAGGCATGGGTTGGGGCATCTGTGACCGACCCACACATTCTGTCCCGGCCTCCACGCCGGGCCTCGGATTCCTGGGCCCTCCTGTGTCCCTCTCTCCCTGTCTATGTGCCCTGTCTCACCCTGTGGCTCTGACTTGCTCTGCGGTTCTCTCTCTGGGCCTGTCCCCTTCCCACTCTCTCTCTTCCTCTGTTTCTCTCTCTGTATCTCTCTGTGCATCTCTTTCTGCCTTTTCTGTGTGTCTTTCTATCTGTATGTGTGTCTCTCAGCCTCTGTGTTTCTTTCTACTTCTTCTCTGTGTGTGTCTCTTCTGTTCATCTCTCTGTCTCTCTTTCCCCTCCTTTTCCTAACTGGCCCCCCATCTCTTCTCATCCTGGTGTCTCTGTCTCTTTCCCCCATGTCTGCCCTTTTTCTCTCTACCTCGGCTCTATCCTCCCCTCACTCCCATGTCTCTCCACAGGCTGAGCCCCTATGAGTGGTATAACCCCCACCCGTGTCTGAGGGCGCGCCCCCACATCCTGGAGAACCAGTACACGCTGGGCAATAGCCTCTGGTTCCCCGTGGGGGGCTTCATGCAGCAGGGCTCGGAGATCATGCCCCGGGCGCTGTCCACGCGCTGCGTCAGTGGAGTCTGGTGAGCGGCCTTCTGTCTGTCCCACCCTGGGTGGGGAGGGCCCCTTCTGAGGCCTGGGTGGATTCTGGTCCCCCTCCATCAGATGTGTGACAGGGAATGGGGTGGGGAGAGCTGAGGCCCAGCTCTGCCCCCTGCTAGCTGTGTGACCTTGGCTAGGCCACATCTCCTCTCCATGCCTCAGTCTCCTCACCTGAAAAATGGGGATAAAAATGCCCATGTCTCAGGTTGTAAGGATTCGGCTGGGAATACAGCAAAAGTGCTTCTGCTGACATGAGAATTGTAACTGGAACGGCATAAGCACGGCTGTTCCTGGCTTGCATGCACCCTGGCGGTCACGGAGACCTGGGGCAGCCTTCACTGTCCAGGGACACCTGCTCCCTCAAGTCCCCTGGTGACCCCAGTAACTCGGACAGAGCTTACTTTATCCCTGGAACGAGCTCCAAGAAGCTACATGTCGGAGAGCAGACACCGTCAACTCATGTCTGTTTGGCCCACCACTTTTTTAGAATTTTGAATTAGCAGCATTTAAAAATTGGGCAAATTCACTCACAAATCCAGATTTCTCACCCTTCTTGAAAATTCGGGGGCTCCAGTAGCGCCAGATGAGCCGGCATTCTCCGGGTTCATGCATTAGAGCACTGAGACCAGGGACCCCCCAGGCCACTCGCTCTAGCACTGCCCGATCCCTGCCCTGCTCCCTGGGCCCTTCCTGAAGAGCATTTGTTCCTCACCTCGTCCCTGTCCCTGAGAATTCATGCCTCAACAGCCAGGCAGCAGAAGCTTCTCGAGCCCCTCCTGGTGCCAGCCTTCACCTGGTGCCAGGTGAAGAATCCGGCCTCAAAAGGCAGACAAGCCGAGCAGAAACAGCTAAACAGATAAATACAGGAACATCCTATTTGATCCCAAGAATAGATAAAGCCCAAAGACAGTGTCTAATTCAAAACTCATTCAAGACTAACGTTGAGTGGGTGGCAGGTTTTGCTCTGCCCACTAAGTGGGATTGACTGCCATAGAGCAAGTTGTTGGCAATTTGCTTGGTCCACTGGCTTTGCACCTTTTGAGTCTAGATGACATTTTTTTTTTTTAAAGATTTTATTTATTTGACAGAGAGAGAAACAGTGAGAGAGGGAACACAAGCAGGGGGAGGGGGAGAGGGAGAAGCAGATTTCCCGCCGAGCAGGGAGCCCGATGCAGGGCTCAATCCCAGGACCCTGGGATCACGTGACCTGAGCCGAAGGCAGATGCTTAACGACTGAGCCACCCAGGTGCCCCTTGATGACATTTTTTTTTAAACATCTCGGGACTGGCATCATTCCAAGTGTCACGTACTTTGTATTAGTCTCCTATTGCTGCTGCAACAAGTAAGACAGGTTTAGTGGCTTAAAGCAACATAAATGTATTCTCTTACAGGTCTGGAAGTCAGAAAGCCGAAATCTCACTGGGCTCAAGTCCAGGTGGGGGCAGGGCTGGCTCCTTCTGGAGGCTCTAGGGGAGGATCTGTTTGCCTGACTTTTCTAGCATCTAGAAGCCACCTGCATTCCTCGGCTAATGGCTGCTTTCTCTGGCTCTGACCTCCTCCTTCCACTTATAAGGACCCTTGTGATACCACTGGGCCCACCCAGATAATCAGGGATAATCTCCCCATCTCAAATTCCTTAACTTCATCATATCTGCAAAGGCCCCTTTACCCCGTAAGGGGACATACTCATGAGTTGCAGGGCTTCGGATGGAGACATCTCTGGGGGCAGGGGTCCTTCTGCCTACCACATACCCCAGTTGCAACTAAAGCAAACAGGGCACGTGGGAGAGAACAGTAGGGAATGTGGATGCTCAGGGAAGCCTCCTTGAGGAGGTGACATCTAGGCTGAGCCCTAAAGGCTAAAACAGAGGCGTCCAGGCCCAGGAGATGGAGGAGCATTCCAGACAGTCTACGGAGGCACGTGGCCCCACTGTGACAAATCTGACCGAGTCTTCAGGTCAGGTGGTGGACGGGTGACCTCCTCTCTGCAGACCGTCCCTTCTGCTCCTCCGTCAGGGACCCCTTCCCCTGCTGGGTATTCTCTGCCTGTACTCATCACCATCACCCCGGCAGCCTCCAGTCACACCCACCCCTGCCCCACTGGAGACTTTGACCCCAAGCTCACTCTCTTCTCCACCCTAAGTCCTTCCACACGTTCACTTGGTCACTTGGTCAGTGGAGGTCTCAACAGATGTTTCCTAGTCTCTAACTGGGTCCCCAGCATGATGACATAGCAGTCCAATGCCACTAGCCTAGGGGACTTGGCTGCCAGTGGGGCCCGAACCCGCCTCCTGGACCCTTCGTCTTCAGGGTCCATTGGGGCCACAGCCTCCTATAGCTGGACCCAAGGGCTCCGCAGCATTCAGGACAGCCCCGCCTCCAAGTCAATGCTTTTGAGGTTCTGCCTGACCGCAGCCCCGCCCTCTCCCCCCCGCCCCCCCCCCCAGGCCACTCTCATACTCCTTGCACCACCCTTTTTCCTGCTCTCTGAAACCTGCCTGCTTTCCAGTCCGTCCACCTCAGGTAGGCTCCTAGGCCATGCCTTCAGCCACTCTTTTGCCATCGTCCTCAACTCCTCCTCAGGTCGTCCTGTCCTCCGAGTCCTCCTGGCAACCTCAGATCTAGTCCTTAGCCTGGCTCCTCCTCCCCCTCCCCGGCTCCACCCGGGTCACTGGGGACCCCTTTACTGATGCGTCCAATACATGGACTTAGCTACCCTCCTTCTAGAAACTCCTCGCTTCCAGGCTCTTGTGGCCTTCTGGTTCCCTCCTTCCTCTTTGGACCCTGTTTCCTTGCACCAGGGGGTGACTGCCCTTTGCCATCTCTCACCTGAGCTCCTCCCTCCACACGGGTGATGTGTCAGTGCCTGCAGACCCAGCGCCTTTGTTTTACGACAAATGTTTTGCGACAAATATTTTCTAACATCTGCTTTCCCACCCTGATGAAATTCAAGGATAATATATCTACTTACACACCTGCCTACACATGATTTAAAACAAATCGGTAACATGCCCTGATTGCAATACAAGGGAGACAAAGGGAAGTGATCTATGGTAGAATAATAGGATAGCAATGCATCAACACTTGGGAGGGGCTATCTCGAACGACAGAAAGCAGGAGTCAGAGAGCTGCACTGACTTATAACAGGTACATCGGGAATGGGGAGAAGTGAAACCATTTAAAAGAATTGTGTCTACACCTGAGACTTGACACTTTAAAATGGTTGGTAAATGAATGTGTTGGTACAAATACAAATCACCATGAGCGTGGCGATTTCCTAATACAACTTTTCCAAGAGTCTTGGTCTGGTGATTCAGAAACCGTGAGCACAGCTGCCATTGGAGACCTGAGTTCCAAACGGTGAAGGGTTCTTGGCAAAGTTTCCAACACAACATCCAGTCGTTCCTCAGTCTGAACAACAGATGCGTTTCTAGAAACTTCGGTTTCTGTTATAACCATGCAAAAACATTGTTAGTTTTTATGTACCAAGGAGTTAGGCTCAGAGAGTCATGCACCGGATTTTCCCTGTTGTTTAGACTGGGCTGCATTGCTGGACACCTGCCCCCATCCACTGACACCAGGAGCCAGCAGGATGCCGCATGCCTAACCAAGGGTCTTCTTCAAACACCTCCCAGGGGGCTCCTCTTGTGCTTCGAGACTGACACTGACCGAGTCCTCACCTCCAGACCCTCCCCATGCGTGTCCAACAGACATCCCCAAAACAACTTGTCCAAAACAGAGTATACATCGTTACTTCCAAGACAGACCCCCCCTTCTGTGTCCCCCCGCTCTGTCCCCGTGAGTGGCCTCGCCCGCCCCCCTCCCCCGCAGTCACCACCACCGGTCAGCCACGCTGTACCCTTTGGGTCGAGGTGGCGCCTGCCTGTGTACCAGGCACTGAATAGTTTTGTCTGTTCATCCCTCTGCCCTCCACTCCATCCCCACCCCAGGGCCTAACTCAGCGCTGTGCATGTGCACTCAGCGAAGGTTAGCTGCTTGCTGTCTTCATGATGATCCACCCGGGGAGGGGGTGGTCTGGGAGGCCCTCCCAGCTTCCCCCCCGCCTTCAGGCCCCACAGATCTGTATTGTCTGCGGGGAGCCTGGCCACTCTCACCTGCCAGGCAGGAGGACAGAGAGGGTCAGGGTAAGACAAGCGGCTGCTCTTGGGCTCCGTGGCGCTGTCAGCAGGTGCCTCTTCTCCCAAGTCCCCAAGACAGTGAGCACATCCACTCGTACGGCTCTTATTCTGGGCCGGCTGTGGCTCACACTCTTACAAGCGCCCTGCAAGGGGCAGCCCGCCGTTGTACTTGCGCCACAGATGAGTCCAAGGTCACACAGCAAGGCAGTGAGAGAGCCGGGATTTGGGGATTTTCCAGAGATCTTTCTATTATTGATTTCTTGTTTAGTTCCACTGTGGTCGGAACATTCTCCGTAGGATTTTCATCCTTCGAAATTTATGGAGACTTGTTTTATGGCTCTGCGTATGGTCTGTCCTGGTAAATGCCCACTGTGCTGTTGGTGGGTGCAGTGTGTTATAAATGGCAATTAGGGCCAGGAGGTTGATGGTGTTATTCCAGGCTTCTCTGTCCATACTGATTTTCTGTCTGCTTGTTCTGTCAATTATTGGGAGAGGGGTGTTGAAATCTCTACTCGTAATTGTGGAGAAATCTTTTCAGTTCTAACAGTTTTTGCTTCATGAATTTTGAAGCTCTGTAATTAGGGGTGTAAATGTTTAGGATTGTTATGTTGTCTTGATGAATTGATCCCTTCGTCATTATATAATGCCTCTCTTTATTCCTGGTAACATGCCTGCTCTGAAGTTACCTTTATTTGATATTAATATAGCCACTGCAGCTTGCTTGCTTGCTTGCTTGCTTTCAGATTTATTTATTTTAGAGAGAGAGCGAGAGTGTGTGTGTGTGTGAGTCAAGGGAGGGGCAGAGAGAGAATCTCAAGCAGGCTTCCCGCTGAGCAGGGAGCCCAACTCAGGGCTCGATCCCAGGACCCCAGGATCATGACCTGAGCTGAAGGCCAATGCTTAACTGACGGAGCCACCCAGGCGCCCCAAGCCACCCCAGCTTTCTTATGCTTAGTGTTGGTATAGCATATCTTTTCCTGACCCTTCGCTTCTGACCTACCTGGATCATTATATTTAAAGTGGGTTTCTTCTTTTTTTTTAAATTTTATTTATTTGAGAGAGAGAGGGAACAAGAGAGGGTAGGGTCAGAGGGAGAAGCAGACTCCCTGCCGAGCAGGGAGCCCGATGCGGGACTCGATCCAGGGACTCCAGGATCATGACCTGAGCCGAAGGCAGTCGCTTAACCAACTGAGCCACCCAGGGGCCCTTAAAGTGGGTTTCTTATAGGCAGCATAGACTTAGGCCTTGGAGCAGGGGTTGGCAAACTTTTTCGATATTGGGCCGGATAGTAAATATTTTAGGCTCTGCTGGCCACCCAGTCTCTGTCACAACTACTCAACTCTGCCCATACTCAGCAGCCAGAGATGATACATACGTGAATGAGTGTGGCTGTGTTCCAATAAAACTTTATTTACGGACATTGACACCAAAATTTGAATCTTATATGTCATATGTCATGAAGTATTGTTCTTCTTTCAATTTCTTTTTGAACGTTTAAAAATGTGAAAACCATTGTTAGCCTGTGGGCTGTGCAAAAAGAGACAGCAAGACAGATTTGGCCCGTGGGCCATCGTTTGCCAACCCCTGGTTGAGATCATTTACATTTAATGCAGTTACTGTTATGATTGGGTTTAAATGTGTCAACTTGTTACTTGTTTTTAATTTGTCCCATCTCTTTTGGCTCCCTTTTCCCTCTTTTCCTACTTTCTTTTGGACTTACTGAGATTTTTAGGATTCTGTTTCATGTCCACTATTGACTTATTAAGCATACTTTAAAAATTTTTTTCTCAGTAGTTGCTTTCTCTGGGTTTACAATATGCATCTTTAATTGTTACAAAATACTTTCAAGTAACATTCTACCACTTCACATAAGATGAAGATCCTTGGGGCGCCTGGGTGGCTCAGTCATTAAGTGTCTGCCTTCAGCTCAGGTGATGATCCCAGCATCCTGGGATCGAGCCCCACATCGGGCTCCCTGCTCAGCGGGAAGCCTGCTTCTCCCTCTCCCACTCCCTCTACTTGTGTTCCCTCTCTTGCTATCTCTCTGTCAAATAAATAAAATCTTTAAAAAAAAAAGGATGACGATCCTTACAGCAGTATTCCACCTCTCCCATCCTTTGAGCTACTCTTATCATATGTATTACTTCTATTTATCTTTCAAACTCCACGACATATGAGGTTTATATGTGTGTGTGTGTTTGCTTAAACAGTAAATGTCTTTAATTTTTATTTTTTTTAAGATTTTATTTATTTGAGAGAGAGAGAGACAGAGCACGAGTGGAGGGGTAGAAGGAGAGGGAGAAGCAAAATCCCCACTGAGCAGGGAGCCCAATGTGGGACTTGATCCCAGGACCCTGAGATCATGACCTGAGCCGAAGGCAGATGCTTAACCGACGGAGCCACCCAGGCGCCCCATCACAATAAACGTCTTTTAAAAGAGATTTTTTAGGGGTGCCTGACTGGCTCAGTCAGTGAAGCATGCAACTCTTGATCTCAGGGTTGTGAGTTTGAGCCCCACATTGGGTGTAGAGGTTACTTAAAAACAAAATCTTTTTTTCAAAATGTAAAGAGATTTTTTAAATGAGGAATATATCTTTTATATTTACCCACACTTCCGCTATTTCTGGTGTTCTTCATGGCTTTGTGTGCATCCATATTTCCATTTAGTATTATTTGCCTTTTGCCTGAAGAACTTCCCATAACATTTCTTTCATTTTTTAAAAGAGATTTTATTTTTAAGTAATCTCCACACACAATGTGAGGCTAGAACCCACAATCCAAGATTGAGAGTCACACGCTCCTCCAACTGAGCAAGCCAGGCACTGCCCACCCCGCATATTTCTTGAAGTGCAGATCTGTTGGCAATTAATTCTCCCAGCTTTTGTTTGTACGAAAAATTTGTTAGTGTGTTTTCTTTTTTGGAGGATCTTTTTGATGGATATTTAATACAAGATTGACAGGTTGTTTTTCCCTTTCACCACATTGTTGCATGGTCTCCTGACTCTCTGACAAGAAGTCTGTTGTCACTCTTATTTTGATCCTTCATGTATGTTCCCTGCCCTTTGGCTGCTAC